ATTTGATCGAAGAAAACAAAAAATACCAATGTATTCCTTCCTTTCCCCTTAAAACCATTCGCATATATTTTATTAATAACAAATTAAATTATAATTTTCAAATTTTCAATTAGTTTTGCTGTTTTGTTTTAAATGCATGCGTTTGTTTTTACGTAATGGACCGCCGGTCCATTGAATTAACATGAAGTGTTGCCATGACAACACGCTATTTTTAAAATATTTTTTGTACAAAACTGTGGGTATGTTATTTTGCATTTTGTGCGCTTTGATTTAATGTAAAATTTAACTTGAAACACTTCGTAAAATGTTTTCAAATGTTCATTCAACTATTAAACTACATTTGCTGATAAACTGTTTTTACTTAATGAAACATAATAGGTTCAAATTGTTAGGTAATTTCAGTTCCGTCTTTAAATCAATTTGCTCTTCTTTACATTTTAAGTTTTTGTCTTAAATTAATTAAACAGGGTAACTTAGGAAACTTACAGCTTCGTTGGAAAGGAAAACAGTTCATGTTTTAGGCAAAAAGTTAAAGCAACAATATTCATAAACTTTAGTCATTCAAAGCAAACTTGCCCTATTTTTCACGATTTCCCATAGTAAATAAATTATTTTCATTTCTTCAAACAAAAACTGCTTCAAAGCTCGTATACGAAACAATTTTCCAAATATTTGTCTTTCAAAATTGAAATCTTGCTTATCCCTCTCCTGGCAATCAACCATATTTTTGAGATCAGTGAGGAGATCCACCCATACACCATGACAGCACTTTAGACTTCGCTAATGCTTTCCTTTCCTTTCCCGGTTTCCCCGGATGTAAATAGTCGGGCGGAATTAGTACCCTCGCCCCGCGGGCTTACGCCCGGAACTGCGCTCCATAATTCTGCAACCCACTACTAGCATAGAACAAATTGCGGGAGTGCGAAGGTTTTTGTATTTTGACTGTATGAAGTTTTAGAAATTGTTGAATTTAACCTAAAAACAGTAATACAATTATATGCAACGAGGTAATTAATGAGTTTATTCGCCACGTCTATTCATTCATATATTCTTATACATATAGTTCCTTCAACAAGATAATTCTTAAGTTTTACCAACAACAATCATCGAAGAAGTCTCTTATTGTTAATTGCCTGCCTGCTTTGCCTTTGTTGCATTTTCTTCGAGGAGATTCAAAGCCATTTCAAGACGTGGTATGCGAAAAATCCGTTGATGTCACGAACTTGAAATGGTGGGGATTGCAGGAGTTACCGTACAGAGATATTCGAAGACATATCACTGAAAGGTTTGTTTATGTTTGTTTGTTGATTATTTGTGTATTATCTTCGATTATATAGTTGTTTAATCTTTTTTCTTAGGCAGGTTTGATTTTCGCGACAAAGTTGGTTTTAGCTCTGCATGTCATTCTTATATATGGGCTTCCCTAGAAACAGACTGATTCGAATTGTTTGTATACTCCTTTTTTCCGCAGGGCAACAACGACATTAAAATTTAAACAAGAAAATTAAGTATCAAATGGCACCATAACCCGTTTTCAAAATTATGCGTCCAGGCTGAAAACAGCTAGAATTGACATGTCAGTTTTATGTCACAGGCAGGCGCTAAACGACGCGTTTGTGTCGAATATAATTTAATTCAGACGAATTTAATTCATCAATTAAATTCGACATAAATGCGACGTATAACTCTGTTAAATTCGACAGGTCGAATTAAATTCGTCTCACTCGCATTATCCGTCTGGCTCAGACGGATAATGCGACAGAAATGCGTCTCCAAGTTAAACGACGAATAATAGACCAATTTAATTCAGACAAATTTAATGCATAATTATTAAAAATTATGTTAACGTTAACTCAGCCAATAAGAATGTCTGATATATACTAATCGCACGAAATAAATATTTTAAGGCGCGAAATTTTGTTCATGTTTCTCTAGATACTTTGAAGGTTAACTTAAACCTACTACTGGAGTAGTTTTGCCAGACATTTTCCCACCATCCAGGGTTTCTTGTCAGACGACGACAACCTCGAATTCTAGGTTTTCTAGCCAGTTCGGCCACGGCTCCTTGTCAGAAGTAGTAAAGACAGATAGCAAATATTTATGATTAATACCCTTTTCTTAAGGTACAGAAGCAATAAATTCCACCTTAAATGCCTTCTTTTTCGTTTCATAAGCATTCTTTTGTAACATATGATAAGGACAGCAGAACGATTGATCGGCGCCTTGTTTATAGTTTCCAGGCTCTCGGCAGCGCGAGCAGTATTTTTGCGACGTAAATTCGACGTATAACTCGGCGACGAATTTGTGTCGAATTTCAGACGAAGTTAATTGCAATTAAATTCGTCTAAATTAAATTCGACACAAACGCGTTTTAGCGCCTGCCTCACAGTTACGAAGTTCAAATTGTTTTATACAACTTTGAATTTTGCGGTTCATTGTCGATGTATATGCTTTGTATATATGAAAAACGTTTTGAATAATTGTCAAGATGTTTTAGTAATGATTACTCTAGTATACAGCAGTCTTTGTTACACAGTTAATTTTGAGGTTAATTGTTCTTTTTCAAACTCTAAAAGTCATTCACAACACAAATTTCTGTTGTGGTACATGGTTTGTTGTTTCTTTTAGTTTGTATATCTAGCCCATGCATTTGGTTCAATCATAGTTAATAGAATACATGCATGGTCTGGAAACTCCATGTATATAAGCACAGGATAAGGACAGAAACAGAAGGGCCACTCCGCTGTGCAACGTATCCACCTATATTTTATCAGCAAAATTGTGCAGTTTACTGGCCAGAAAGCGGAGTAGCCAGCCAGTACAGCATGTTTATTGGCCAGAAAATGTAAATCGACTGGCTAGGAAAATGGTGGCAAACATGCGTAATGCGATATGCGTGGGGACACAAACTTCAAAGGTTCCGACTCGAGTGGCCCTTCTGTTTCTTTCTTTATTCTGTGATATAAGTACAATATAACTCATTGTCTATGTTCCTTTGTCGTTACGTGCGTATTGTATTTTTTTCCAGACTCCAAACAACCAATAATAATGTTTGGGCTTATAGTTATCCATCCGTGACTTGAACAATCAGTTAATTTAAACATTGCTATAGGTTGATTTGGCGAAAATACAATACACACGTGCATATTAAATTTGCATAAACCAAAAATAACATAGTTAATGAGTTGTATTGCAATTCCATCGAGTTTCCAAACCATGTATTCTATTAACAATGGTTCAGTATTCTTTATAGGTATTAAATACGGTCTAAAAATGTCTTTTGTTTGCGCTATTTTTGGCCGTTCGCGTGACATAAGCGGACATTTGAACTAAAATTATTTTTCGGGTATAGGTCGCGTAATTTTAAAAACTGGTGTAAAGCCATGGCCTATGAAAAGCGAATAACTTTCTGTTTATTTTTGAGGCGCCCTACATCACTGCTTGTTGTTTTCTCTACTAGCCGGGTACTTAACAGTTATTCAGCCACATGCGACGACTCTACAGGGTGTATAAAAAAAGTAGACAGTTTTGTAACGGCTCTCAATTTCATAATCCGTTCATTTCATGAAATTTGTGATAAATTATTATTATTTTTATTATTAATAAAATAGAGATATTGCAACATACGTTGAATTACATCTGGTAACATAGTTTTAAAAATTATATAAGTACAAATGTAAATTATATTAAATACTCTATGGATATATATTTAAATATATGATATTAGAACTATTTACACATATTACTTGGTATATAAGAATTCTTGAAACGTTCAGTATTGGCCTTAATAGGATAAAATTCATTTTGATATCTTAAATTGTATCTATTATTATTACCAGAATGTCTATTTAGTAAGTCTTGCATTTTTGCGTGAGATTTTATTGTCATTTATTGTATATTTTTGTAGACAGACTTTGTTGTCATAGTTTATTGTATATTTCGTTGTGTATTAATAATAATACTTATATTGCAATACTTGTAACAAAGAATGGCTTTTCCGTATTAAAGGAATACCGAATGGTTTTCCGTGCAGGATTGCGTGTCCATGCACGCGGGATGTTGTGAGACTTTCGGAAAGCGTAAAAATACACGAGCCGTAGGCGAGTGTATTTTTACGCTTTCCGAAAGTCGAGCAACATCCCAAGTGCATGGATCATGCTATCCTGCATGGGAAAACCATTTGGTAATTGTTTT